GCCTATCACATTCCCTATTTTGTTCAACTAGTCGGCTAGCATAAATTAGTTTTTAATGCTACGATAGTCTGGTCTTTCAAAAATTCCTTGACCTGCGCATCAATTGGTAATTCGTTAAAGAAACAAATAACATTCGGATACATATACATAAATATCTTCCAATGGTCCGATGGACGGATCCCACCCTTGCTATTATTTCAAGCATGCGACTGAATGTTCCTACAATGACATGCGGATGAGACTCACTCACGTACCTTCACGGGTTAGAGTCATCCGCACTTCCTCGTCATAATTCATAATCCGCACCCTTTTGATTGTTACTCTTTTTGTATACTGAATATATATATTTTATTGTACTAAATGTACTAACTTCAAAAAGTCAAATCAGTTTTGTTTGTTCCCACATTTAACTGCTAGAGGTCATATATTGGCATCAATCAACTTTACATGTGTCCATCCTTTTCCCACTTGCCAATCCCAAAAGTTAATCTCATATATATTATATAATATATTTGCTGAATCATATCATAACTGTACATAATATATATATATGTCTACAGTATTTTATACTTAATACTGTTTAAAAAAAAATAATGGAAGCTGAAGGATGATCCACACCCGCATCTTATTTACAGATACTTAGAGTTCCTCTAAATGTGGAGGGCAGCTGTTGTCTTGGAATGTTTTCCTACAAAACAGAGTCCATGACTCCTCTGGAGATAGTGGCTCCATAGTGTAGATGTTACCATGGGATTCTATGGAAGAGATAGAAGCTACTTCACTGATGCGCGTTGTGAGTAGTATTCGACTGCCACAATTATTGTTGGGTAATGTATTTTAAAGCATCCCATGCATTTATACTCCACACATCATCAAGACTTCTCGGTTGGAGGAAATCCTTGAGTTGTGCCTTCAGATTATTGTTGTCCATGGATTCCAATCTTTGAGGTGCCTTCAGCTTCTTGACGTCATTAAAGAGTTGTTGAATTAAGTCTTTGAGAAGCTCTTTGAGATCAAAGGATTGTGAAACAGTGATCCAAGCATGGCTTTTAAAATGATTCTTCACCTCCATATTATCGTAGACTTTCATCAATGCCCACAAGCTCTGCTTCTTCCAGTAGCAGTGAATCACCGCGACGATCATACCATGTGTTATTGACAGTATTGGAGCTTGAGCTTTGCTCTGAGACGTTAAATTTGTAACGGTATTTCTGATGTCACTCAGCAATTATATTCACTCTAGACCTTATTATTTGTATCTTAGAAGCAATTCGATGGTGAGCATTCAAGTATTATGGGAGACTTTCATCAATGCCCACAAGCTCTGCTTCTTCCAGTAGCAGTGCATCACCGCGATGATCATACCATGTGTTATTGACAGTATTGGAGCTTAAGCTTTGCTCTGAGACGTTAAATTTGTAACGGTATTTGTGATGTCCCTCAGAAATTATATTCACTCAGTACATCTTTAGTGTCATGGGTAACTTCACGCACTTGCTTAACCCATACTTGGAGTTCAAGGTCACTCTCTTCCATTGCATCAGCTACTCTCAAGAACACCCTCATGCATTCCAATTCATTTTTGACGCACTCAGCTTCTTTCCTTTATTCCTCCCAAGAGTTCTGACTCTTCTCGAAGGAAGATTGTCAGGTGGTCGAGCAGAAAAATTAGTGAAATCTCAGCCATTTTCTCTTTTCTTCTTAATTTCTCCCAGAGAAGAATCAATAGAAAATAGATTTCAATTGCCAGACTTTCCAGATGGAATTTTAGATTTTGGTAGAACCGGATTGGTATGTGGTAATTATTTAGGTTGATTCCAGCTCAAAGCCATAAAATGGGCATTGCTCCAGAAAATCTTGACAAGACATTTAAATGAATTCTGCTTTGAATTTCAAATTTTGGTTGACCCTTTTTGATACTGTTTTTTTTTTTTTTTTCTTCGCATTTATCGATTTTACAATGACATTCATTATTCATCAGTTAAACTCGGGGTATTTTGTCAATACAAACTTGCTCAACAATTTTATATCATTTATGTAACAACTGTAACAACTAACTTACATTGCTTGAGTAACAACTTTACATTGCTGATTCGTAACTGATATATTGTTTGCGTAACCAATGTATTGTTTTGTGTAAGCATAAGATCCAGACATAAGAGGTGATCCTTATTCATTTTTATAGAATTGTCTTTTATAATTCTCTCAAAATTGTTTTATATTTTTTGAGTTCTTAAATTTTATTTTTCAAGTACAACACAATTAAGTCTAGTCCTTTAGTGCATCATTAACTATGGGCCTTACACTGTCCTGATATATATTAAATACCAACACAATTAAATCTAGTTCTTTTTTTTTTTTTTTTTTAGAGCAATTTCAAGGCGAAAATGACAATTAGTAAGAAATTTGGCATTTATCTGGGTAGAAAGTTGGTTATTATGAGCAGCTTCAAGTTACATAATATATAGGAACTGCAATATATATATATATATATATATATATATATATATATATATATATATATATATATAAAAGTTGTTAGATCTTGATGGTTGAAAAAATGTTGCATTTTGAAGCACTAATTCCTTTGTAATTGAAATTAAAGAAAATTTAAATTAAATTTTCAATAAAATTTCTCTGATTTCAATTTTGAAACGCTTTATGCTTATGCAGTGCTCCCTAACATAGCTTAATTAAATTTTTTACCCTAATGTGACACAGCTGGATTGGTACAAAATTATGCATGATGGTATAACCATTGTTTGGACAATCTTGATATACATTTCATCATTTTGTGTCAATTCATCTTGATAGACATTAAATACTTGTGGAATATTTCTTTTTGGACAATACTTGTCTACCTTTTTTATTTTATTTTGACAGATACTACTTATCTACTCACCCGCATTTTGACTGCTAATATTTTTTGGAAGAGTACTAAATCACTATGAAGGGAGTAAGTTGTTCGCGAAGCAATTGTTTGTTAGGTTAGCGACTCGTTTGCAAGATGGTGGGAGTGAGTTTGAGGTCTGGAGCAACTCGGCTTGGTTGTGTTTGAGTTTAGCAATGTGGTTTCTTTTCTTCAATCCAGTAGAATGCTTTAATATGGATTATTAATTTTGTGGTTTTTTCTCATTGAGATTTCATACATATAAATCTGGTATGTTTTGGAGCAATGTTACACAGCTCAAAAATTCGTGGTATGTATCTCGAATTTGAAAGACGTATATGTCTTTAATTTTAATAGATATTACACTTTTTCTTTCTTGTTGAAATATTAAATTAAGAAAGTAGATAAGTTCAAAGATGAATAATGTATATACCCATTTGTATGAATTATTCATTGAAGGAGAATTGAGACAGAAAATTAAATTAAGTTTCTCTCTTTAATTTTCTTTTCTCTACTTTTATCACACACACACATATATATATATACGCTCTTATGCACTCTCGACTTTATAATTATAATAAATATGAAGATTATTGATCAATTTATCAAATAATTCACACATGTAGATCGTTGAGGAAATTAGGATTCTTATTCAAAAGAAAGAGGACTCAAAATATAGTTTTAAAAAACTTTAAGTGGATTATGTATTTATTTAATTACTCACAAATAAAAATTGATTGAGAAATTTAGGTTTTTATTGAAAAAAAAGAGTTAACCCCTAAAACGTTTATCAAAAGTGTTATGTTAGGGTTCAAATTTTATCATAATTTTTTTTTTTTTTTTCCTATTTTCTCTCTCAAACCTACCATGTATTTGCTTGGTAAAATAGCATTCAAAATACACAAAGTTAAATTGTCATATAATCCGTCACAAAGTTGTCCTATCGCCAAATTTTGAGTTTGAAAACAACTATAATCTCGTAAATGAGGTTGGCAAAAATTGTAAAACTTGTCTCAAGGTTTTCATGGTATCTTATGGGTCCGTTTGAACTCTACCCGAATTGAAAGTTATGATTGGTTGAATTTTGAATTAATTTTAAGTAGTTTTTAAACTTGACTATTCAATCGCTCCATGTACTCAACGTTGCTGGTTCGGTATCAAAGTGCCTACTCCTTGAAGGGCTCCTCCAAACACTACCTTACCTTAAATAGTAAACAACAAAGACACAATTGGACAACCTTATAAATATTGTTGGAGTCCAAGTTCTTGAATTTGACCTTTTTTTTTATACATTGTCTCTATAAAATGAAATGCATTACATAAAAATTAACAATGAATAAATATAAACTCAGAACCGTAGGTGAGTTTAATTATCGAAAAAAAAAAACTGTAGGTGAGCTTGGGCTTGTGAACAATGTAACACAATATACAACAACTTAATTACTTGAAAAGGAGAAAATAATAACAACATCAGTTATCCATAAAAATAAAATAAAAACAAAACATTAGATAGTGAAGATCTCAACAACTATCCAAGGACTCTAGCTTTCTCCATTTCTCTCTCTATATAATTTCCTTCCCAACTGAATACCCCGAATCAGTTATTCTATAAAAATAAAATAACATAATATATTAAAAAGTGAAAAAGAAAAACAACAGAAAAAACAAATCAGTTATCCTATAAAAATAAAATAAAAGCAAATATTAGGTGACCTGATCAGTAATAATCATCTCACCGACTCAGTTGATGTCGAATGCCAGTGGGTACCTCTTCCAACAACTCACAGTTCCAAATAGTCAGCTTTTCAAGATGAGGCAACGATCCCTTCTCCATTCTCACCCACCTCAATCCTTCTAAGCTGTAAAGCTCTAATATCTTAAGCTTCTGAAACCCTGTCGATTTGATACACATTTCCTCCCCTCGGTAAGCCTTAAAAAGTACAATTTCTAACAGATTGGGCAAATCTTGAAGGGATTGCAATGGATCATCCCTTAACTTGCTATACCGAAGCCGCAATCTCACCAGGTTATGAAGAGAAGTTATCCAATGGGGCAAATTTTCTAAAGGTCCCCACAAATAGAGCCGTTGAAGAGACCCACGAGGAGAAGACTAGTGTTGAATATCAACAATCTCTTTATTTTCTACAGAACCTACGGACAATGATTGAAGGTTACTCAGCTTTTCAAGAGAGGAGCACAAAGCCTTCCCATCCTCCCTTCTCAACTCCGTAATCCCCAATCTCCTCAACTGGGTCAGTCTCCCTAGCTCTCCCATTACAATTCTACCATTCTCATGGTTCGCTTCAATAAAACAGAGTTTTTGTAAGGAAGACAAACCTTCTATTCCCACTATTGCTTTAAAGCCACATGTATCCAAGTTGTAGTTGTACACCAAGAGATGACGAAGACGTTGGAGCTTTAGAATCTGAACAGGCAACTCAGTTACATTGGTGTATTTGAGATCCAAAGTTTCAAGATTTTCAAGCTTACCTATGGATTTCGGAAGCGTTTCAACCTCTGTTCCCCTCAAGCTTAAATACCTGAGATGAAATAGTTTGCCGACTTCATCTGGAAGCATCTCCAAAGAAGCACCCCTCAGATCCAAAACCTTTAACAACCGAACCCCACCACTGAATAATATAGGATTCAACGACTTGGATATAGGTTCTTCCACCGAGAACATGAGCAAGGAACGGAGTTGAGGAAAACGATTTGTCTGCTGCAAGTTCCCCAAGGTGTACTGAATTGACAGGCGCCGAACTTTTTCCGGCCACGTTGTGCTTTCTTTGCTTACCATGGCAGCAATGTTTTGTTCTCTTGACTTTGAAGTAATTACTTCACGGAAAAGGTCATGGATGCGACACTCTCTTAGCCTTCCAATACCATCTATCCTTGCCACTTGGACCAAGCTTCTATTAATAAGCTCTTTGAGATAGCCTTCAGCAACTTCTTCCATTGTCCTTCCCACTCTCACTTCCACAAATCCTTCTGCGATCCACAGTCGAATCACTCTCATGCGCTCAATCTTGTAATCTTCGGGGAATAAACCCAAGTACAAGAAACATATTTTTAGATAGTAAGGCAAATTATAGTAACTGAGAGAAAGTATCTTTTTCATGCTCTCAAGTTTGTCGTGGCCTTCTGACTGAGCGCCAAGGCTACGATGAAATAATTCCCAATCATGGGATGTACTTCTATCTTTCGTAGCTAAAACCCCACTAACTGCCACAACTGCAAGTGGCAAGCCCTTACACTTTTCTAAGATACTTCGTGAGACTTTCTCTAAATCTGGAGGGCAGCAGTTGTCTTGGAATGTCTTCCTACAGAAAAGAGTCCAAGACTCTTCTTGGGACAATGGTTCCATAGTATAGATGTGATCAGGAGATTCTACACAAGATGTAGAAGCTACATCAACAATACGGGTCGTGAGCAGTATTCGGCTGCCACTATTGTTGTCAGGGAATGCATATTTCAAAGCATCCCATGCATGTATTTGCCAGACATCATCAAAAACAAGCACGTACCTTCTCTGTTGAAGGAAATCTTTGATTTCCGCTTTCAAGTCATTTCTGTCCATGGTATCCAATCTTTGAGGGGCCTGTTGCTTGGCTTCATCGAAGAGTTTCCGAATTACATCTTGGAGAAGCTCTCTGAGATTAAATGATTGAGAAACAGTTATCCAAGCATGGCATTGGAAATGATTCTTCACCTCCATATCATCATAGACTTTCTTTACTAGGGTGGTTTTTCCCATACCCCCCATCCCCACCACCGAAACGACTTTGAGTCTTGGACTGTCCTCCACAAGCCACCCAATCAGCTGCTTCTTGCGCCCATCCATGCCCACAAGCTCAGCCTCTTCCAGTAGAAGTGCATCACCTCGACGATCATACCATGTGTTGTTGACAGTGGTGGAGGTCGAGCCTTGCTCTGAGACAGTGCTGTAGTTTTGATGTCCCTCGGCAATTTGACTCACTCTACACTTGATTCTGTGTATCCGAGAAGCAATTCGACGGCGTGCTTTCAAGTTCTTAATAGAGCAACAAATCTTACGAAGAAAACCATAGAATCCATCCCCATGATAACGTGAGAAGCGGAGCATGAATTCGTCAAGCACATCTTCGGTGTCATGGGCAACATCACGAACTTGGTCAACCCATGCTTGGAGCTGTGGGTCAATATCTTGTTTTTCATCAGCTACTCTGAGGAAAGCCCTCAGGCGCACCAATTCATCTCTGATGGACTCAGCTTCTTCCCTTATTCCTCCCAAGAGGCTCGACTCTTGTTGAAGGAAGATGTCCAAGTGATTGAGCAAAAAAGCTACTACACTCTCAGCCATTCTCTCAGATCTTCTTAATTTCTCCCAAGACAACAATAGAGAGACAATAATAGATCGATTACAAGAGTCCTCAATCTTGGTATGAATTTTAGTAAGTAAAAGGCAGAAGGAATTTCAGATCATTTCTCAATTGTGTGGAAAAACTTTGTTTGGAATAAAAAGAGGAAAGAGAGTGGGGAGCCAAATGATAAAAGAAAAAGGAACAGATGAACCGAATACAACACAATTAAGTCTAGTGCATTGTCTCCTTTTGCTCCCTACACTGTGTCCCGCAATGATAGAACTACACAATTACGAGTTGATTGGGATAGAAAGTTGGACTGGGTAAGTTGGTATCATATTTATTTAATTGATTTTTATACCTCCTCTACGATTTGACACGCCACTATTGTTGCTTTTGAGCTGGAATCCATTTTATGAGGAATCTGCTTTTTCAGTGATGGACTCACTTTTTGACACTGATCAACTATGTAGCACAACTATTCTAACACATGCACAGGATGATCATTTTGAATTAGTAACACATTGCAGTTTAAGGTCTGTTTGATTCGGTTTTTTTTTTTTTTGAGTGGTTTTGTTTTTTAAGAATTAAGAATTAAGAATATATATATATATATATATATATATATATATATATATATTTGTTCCTCGTATTTCTTTTCATTTTCTTTATAAAAAAAAATTACTTCTCTTTCTTCTATCAAAAAACTTTTTTTTAAAAAAGTCTTTCTAATGCGAGCGAGATGCTTTAAGTCTCATATATATATAAATTTTTTTATTCTTTTTTTTAAAATTTTTCTTTTTGTTTCATTCATATATTATTTATACACAATAACCTCTTTCTCTGTTCTTATTCATTTTTCATTCACTTATTATTTTTAAAATATAATATAAAAATTCCTAGCTCCCTTTGCCTAGCTCGTCCATTATCACAATCACAATATATTCAAATATGAAAACTATACATAAAATCCTAGGCAAAGGGGCGTTGTATAGGGATGGCATCGGGGCGGGTTTGGAGCGGGTTTCTCTAAATCCCGCCCCGCCCCTTTTAATTTTTGTCAAGTCCATGTCCGCCCCGAGACCCGCGACGGGTTGGATTTTCATATCCAACCCCGCCCCGTTAGGAAATACTGTATCCCCGTGCCCGCCCCACTAACAAATTTTTTTCTCCCACTTTTTGGAACTTAAACTCCTACTATTTAAATGTGCAAAGCCTAGGAATGACACAACATAAATAAAATTATGTATCCTAATAAAAAATAAATAAATAACATGCACATAATATAATTCAGAGAACATAATAAACAAAAATAAAAGTTTAATACAACCAAATCACAAGAAGTTCTAAGCTCCAACTTCCACCATAACCAAAACAAAAACAAATTTAATACCAAGTTTACATCCCAAATTAGGATTATAAGAGATGGGTAATTGGGTAAGCCGCTAAAATAACTTATTAATATATATATATATATATATATATATATATATTAAATATAGTTATATGCGGGGCGGGGCGGGGCGGGGCCCCTAGGATATGTATATTGAACCCTTACCCGCCCCGTGACCCTCGACGGGTACAAAATTTATATCCATGTCCGCCCCAACGGTATAACAAGTGTTCCCATATCCGTTATTAACAGGGCGGGACGGGGCGGGGCCCCGGCGGGGCGATAAAAATTGACATCCCTAGCGTTGTAGGTGTCTCCAAAATTAATTATGCTACTTGATGAAACCCAATCAATTGTGTTTTCAAATTCCAGCTGTGCTTGATCGTCCAAGCTAGGTGTCTCCATGTCCAGAGTGTCTCCCACGTACATAAATAGAGAGAATGTAGACACTTAAATTTTGTGCTGACATCATAGCCGTCCAATTGATTAAGAAGTCAAATATTGTTAACCAATTAAATTTTGTAAATACGGATTCCATCAATGGACACGTATTAAAATCCTATATATTCAGGCCTTTAAAGACAATGACAGTTTAATTTAAATTTAAATTGATTTTCATATAAAAAGAAATATATTTTTTATTTATGAAAAAATCCCACAATCATCGGGGAGTTTCGAAATTAAACATAAGGCCACCTTAGTACCTTGCACATTCAGATGGAGAAAGAAGAAAAGAACATCAAAGTGTGAATTGTACCCAACGAAATATTTTAAAAAATTTGTATTTTGAAGAACTGATATGTGTCTAACTTGACTTATTTTAACAATTAAATATTATATACCTGTAACTCAATTAACATTAACTTTGGACAATCTTATAAGACATTGTTTGGACGATTGCTTTAGAGTAGTGGGACTAATTTCATGGTTTTGTGTCGGTAGAAATAGATGGATCCGATCGTGGGGGCCAGCAATTGGTTTTGAAATGTTAATCACGTGGACTCTGCACAACTGTCAACTGTCCTAACACGCACAGGATGATGACCTATCAATTCAATTGTACAAAAATATTGAAACCTTGATCATACACTGTAACAAATTTAAAAAAATTACTGTTTTAACTTCATTGAATTTGTTAAGGGTAATTTATACAAACTTCCTCTATGATTTAACATAATTACAGAAATCTCTTTTTAAATTTGAAAATTTAAAAAGACCTTCCCTAAGAATAAAAATATTTTACACGGACCTTTCTTATATGTGTCAGACCGTTAAATACAAAATTACTGAAATACACTCTCTTTGGCATATAAAATTACTAAACTACCCTTCTGAAACTCTGGGCTCCCTACAACGACGTGTTTCTCTCTCTACAAGATTTCAACAGATTTAGAAAATTTGCAAGGTTGCAAATTCTCTCTCTTTCTGCAATGATTTAGTTCATTCTTTTTCTCTCTCTACAAATAGTCTCTCCTCTACCTTTCTCTTCACATATTTGTCTGTCTTACCTGTGTTTGGGTTTTTGCCACCGATTGAGGACTAAATGTGCATATATACAGAGATAAATTTACCAAAATAAAAATTAATATACAGAAAGTAATTTACCAAAATAATAAATATATATTAAGAAAAAAAGAGGACTAAATGAAGATCATACATGAGGCTTGTGCATATATTAGCGTGTGTGCATATATACAAAGAAGAAAGAGTAATAACCTAGAATTGTGTCAATATCAAGTCTTTTGAATTTTGTGATTTTTGGGGACGCTTTTTGTGATTTTTGAGAATTTTCTAGATCAAGAGGAAGAACTTGACTGACATGTATTTAATTAAATGATGAAGTGTAATTACATTAATTACAAAATGAGCCCTTCTATAACTCAATTAACATAAATTTTGGACACTCTTGATAAGACATTGTTTGGATAATTGATTTAGAGTAGTGGGACTAATTTCATCGTTTTGTGTGAGTAAAAATATATTGATGGGATCGTGGGGGCCAGCAATCGGTGATTTTGAGCTGGAATCAATTTTAAGTGGACACTATTGGTTTTGAAATGTTAATCAATTTCACACTGCCTTTTCTTTTCCCACTGATCAACTCTGCACTTTCTTTTCCCACTGATCAACTCTGCACAACTGCCAATTGTCCTAACACATGCACAGCATGATGACCTATCAATTCAATTGTACAAAAATACTGAAACCTGGATTACCCCACAACAAGTTCAAAAAAATTACTGTTTTAACTTCATTGAATTTATAAAAAGGAACCACCCCCCCCCCTGGCGGCGGCCGACAGGGGCGGCTCAATAAATTATGAGGCCTTAGATGAAAAAAAAATAAAGTGGCTTTTTAATTAAATTTAGGGGAAAGTCCAAAAAATCCGCTCTGACTTTCACGTTTTTTCACTAAACCCCCACTGACTATTTTTATTCCAAAAAACCTCCCTCAACTATCAGAGGGGTAACATATTCAACGATATATTAATTAAGGATGCAAAATGACTAAAGTATCCATTAGGCAAAATTTATGAATTGCCATCATCCGTTATGTCGAGCAAAAGCCATTTTTTCTCCTTTTCAATTCTGAGTTTGTTGGTGGAAAAAAATTCCGAGTTTGCTGTTTTTTCTCATTCCTCTCTTTAATTGGGCTAGGGGTCATAATCATCTCATATAACTAAAGAAATCATTGACTGATCTATATTCGTAGATTTGATGTACAACGTTTAGGTCACTCTAGGGTATATATATAAATACAATGAAGCACAATACTCTTCCAATGATATGAGATGTATGAATAGAAGAACAAAAGCTCTTTGGATGCTATATGATGTTTCTCTATGGTAGCAACATTAAATCCCGAAGTCCCCAGCTCTATTTATAGAGTTTTGATGCAGCTAATTCAAAAATATAGCTATTGTGCACGAGTTTTAAGGCAAAATAGTCGTTCAAGTTTGAATCTGCACTAAGTCGGTCAACCGAAATGAATCAACACTTTGTTTCGGTCGTCTGAGATGACAGGATGCCTTTGGACCAATTTATTTCGGTCAGCCGAAATGAATAGGCTTTTTATTTTGGTTGTCCGAAATAGCCTGAGGCCTTGTTGCATAGTTACTGCCCAAACCGATCGTCCGGAATGATTTGCTTATACATTTCGGTTTGCCAAAATGAAACTGCTGCTTCAGAAATTTTGTTCTAAGTTAACAGATGAGATAGTTTTTCTACAGGACATCTGCACATACCTTATTTCCATTGAAAACATTTAAGTAAATGTCTTTACAGTATTTATATATCTATTTACTTTAAGTTTACAATGTAAATAAGGAAGTACCTCCATTTGGATTCAATAAAAAATACTAGAAAATTAAAATTCAACTAAATCAAAATGTAGAAATTCAGTTTTAGTACAAATTTAGATTTTTGACAATTTTGGAAAAAATGAATTCTTATGTAGACTAATGTAGACTTAATAAAAAATTCTGATAAAATTAATTTAGGCCAGTTGAAGTATAAAGAGTTATTATCGGGAAAAATTATTTTGAAATAATCATTATTTTAAAAATTCATTTTTCACATTTAGCCAAAAACACAGTTTTTCATGACG